ACCCCTGCAGACTTCAGTCATTCAGGTGATACTGTTCGTGGTGATGCGCCGTCTTCTCTGCGTATTGGCCCTCACGCTGCTCAGCAGTTACTTGGGCGTGACGGCAGCGGAGGCCGGTCCTCCTGCTGATAGTCCCCGTGACAAATCAGTGGAGGATGCACGAGCGCGTCTTGAAAAAATTACGGGTATGGTTTTGCCTCCTTTCCAACGCTCTTCGGGCCCGGGTGAACGCCGTCAAGGTGGAGGTCAGCAGCGTCGTCAACGGCCTGGCATGTCGCCTCAATCTGACAATCCTGGCTTCGATTACCGTCCTCGGACTTCCGGTACTAGGGGCGCCCCCTCTTCCCGCGCGCCCTCCTTGGATGAGCATAAGGCACAGCTACAAACAAATAACGGGATAGCTAATGCTAGTAAACCAGAGCCGGGGATGCCACCAGATGCGCCTGGCACATTCCCGTCACCACCAAGCCCACATACAGCCCCATCGCTACCCCCTAACACATTATCTGGCGAACAGCGACGTGGCCCAGAAGCGCCTCCAGGACAGAGTGACGACCCATCACAACTACCAAGCACCAATCCGAAACAACAAGACGCCGGCAAAGGAGCAGTGAGCGGAGGACTGGTACATGTGTCTCGATCAGACGGGCCTGTGCCACCTCAAATAAATTCACAGGGCCAGGAGAACACAATGACCCCGCTGCAGACTGCAAGGAAGGCAGCTAGCAACTCGCCAAGGTTTGCCAACTCGACAGAGGCTGAAGCTGCGAGGACAGAGGATAAGGTCCACGCTGCATTGAGGCAGGCGGGAGAAGCAGCGACGAAGGCCTGGAACGCATGGACGGAGGCTGACAGGGCAGTGAAGCGTATTGAAAAGGCCAAGACGGGGGCTGAGCAGGNGAAGCAGCGACGAAGGCCTGGAACGCATGGACGGAGGCTGACAGGGCAGTGAAGCGTATTGAAAAGGCCAAGACGGGGGCTGAGCAGGCCTTTGCAAAGGCGAACGCGTCCGTAACGGAGATGCTGTCCTCGGAGCGGGAGGGTGGGGGCGCGGCGCAGCGAGCCGAGACGGCAAAGAAGGACGTTGAGGTGGCCATTGCGAAGGTGCAGAAGGCAGTGAAAGAGGCCGAAACTGCGGAGAATCAGGCCGCTTCCGCCATCAAGGACGCCAAGGATGCAAAGGCGCTTGTCGAAGAGGCATTGAAGAGTGCGGAGCAGGCGGCTGCGAATGCCAACGAGGCGCAGAGGTACGCTTGGAACGCAGAGACGGCACTGAAACGAGCAGACACCGCAGTGATTGAAGCCGCGAAGGAAGCGGCCAAGGCAAAATCTGGGCAACACAGCGCTGTTACTGACGCGGATATGAAGGAGATCAAAGCAGCACGGAGCAGTGTTTCCGCGGCATTTGAGAGGGCAAAGGCGGGAGTGAAGAAGGCCAAGGAGGCAATGGAGGAGGTTGGCAAGGCAAAGAAGCAGGCTGGGGGGGCGGATACGCAGGCTGACAAGGCAGCGGAGCGGGCAGAGGCGGCACAGAAGGCGGCGAAGGAGCTGCTCGAGAGGGCGAAGGAGATGGAGACCGCGGCACTGAAGGCGAGGACACAGACTGACGAGGAGCTGCAGCGGTTCATCAGCGATGTGACGGATGCGGCGGTGACGGCCACGGGCAGCGGCATTGCTGCGTGGTCGCGTCTGCTGCTGCCGCTTCTCTTGGGGGCGGCGTCCTGCGCGGCCGTGTGACGCGTGGTGTGTGCGCTGGGCGGCGAGCCCCCAACCAATCGTGTGCGGCCTTGCGGAATGGCTTCGCGGCTGCCGGGATCATTTTGTTTTGTTTCTCTTAATTAAATTGCTGCTTTATTGTGGGCCGGGCGCTGGTTTGTAATAACCCTCGACGATATATTCACTGGGCTGGATATATTCATGCTGTCGTGGGAGGCGTCTGTTGTTTTTCTTCTTTTGCTTGGGCTTTGCTTCGCACCGGGCACTGTGCACCGCCCACTGATCCACTCCCCCCGAGGACAGTTCTTCTGCTGTTTGCCCCGCTTGCATTCCCATCCGGCATGCGGTGGGTGCGTTCAGATGTGGACTCACTGAGGCGGGTGCAGGATGTAAACTTGTTTTTAATATACACATCGGCAGGGAGGAGGACGCGTCTCAACGGTTTCATTCTTTTCGTTTGCTGTTTGTGAGGGTAGTTTGTCGGGGCCCCATTTCGTGTGGGGTTGTGTGCTTCTTCTGTGGCGCACTTTTGTGCACGCCGCTCCCCACTTGTCTGCTTCGTGTGGTGCGACGCACACTGGCTGCTGGTGCTCTCTCCCACCCTGGTCGTCTCTGTGTGTGTGTGGCATCTTTTTCTTTGCAACTTTCTTTTGTTCTTTCTTCAGACCTCAGCCTTTCAGCTAAGACAATTGGTCATGATGATGGGGCGCCGCGCTGTGTGTGTCTCGGCCCTCGCACTGTGCTGCACGTTCCTTTGCGTGACGACTGCTGGGGCAAGTCCTTCAGCGACAGGAGACACGACCGTCACTGGGGCCATCTTGGCCGCGAAAAGTAAAGGTGAAACAGCAAAGGGTAAAGTGGAGACTGCAGCAAAAGGATCCGAAGGCGCAGTGGCCAAAGCCTATGCTGCGTGGCACAAGGCTTCGACGTTACTGGAGGAAACGGATGCTGCGCTGAATGAGGCAACTTATGCAAGGCAGCAAGCGGATGAAGCGATGACGAAGGCCGGCAATGCAGTGACGCAGGCTGAAAGGGCCATGACACAGGCTGAAGCTGCGGCGAATCAGACTGCGGACTCGAAGGGTCACTCACAGGAGGCTGTTTCTGAAGCGGAGGCTTCGCTGAAGGAAGCCAGGACGCAAGCTGCTGCAGCGAGGGTGCAGGCTGACCAGGCGGAAGTGAATGCAACGCGTGCGGCGGATAGCGCGGCAGCACAAGACATTGAGGCGGTGAAGCAGTTGGCTGCTGAGGCGAAGAAAGCCGCAGAGAAAGCAGAGGGGGATGCCAGAGCCGCACTGGACGTTGCGAAGGAAGCACAAGAACGAACCGAAAACGCAAAAACACTGGCAGTCGCTGCGATGGACAAAGCTGTGGAGGAAGGAAATAAGTCACTGAAGGAAGTTCTTCTATCTGAGGATGGGAAAAACTATGAGAATGCACTCAACGAAGCAAACAAAACAGTGTGGAGCGCCTACAACAAAGTGCTGGAAGCGTGGGAAGTGGAGGAGACGACCTTTTACGAAAAGGGTAAGGCTGAGGTGGCTGTGCAGCGGGCTAAACTGGCAGTACATTATTCCAAGCAGGCTGCTGAGAAGGCTGTGAAGGCAGAAGCAGATGTTGCAGCCGCCAAGCAGCAGGTCACTAAGGCAAAGGGGCAAGTTTCTTTGGCGAGAGAGCAGGCTGGCAAGGCAGAGAAGCTGGCTGCTGAGAAGGCTGTGAAGGCAGAAGAAGATGTTGCAACCGCCAAGCAGCAGGCCGCTGAGACAGAAGCACAAGTCTTACAGGAAAGACAGCAGGCTGACAAGGCAGAGAAGCAGGCTGTTGAGAAGGCTGTGAAGGCAGAACAAGATGCGGCAGCCGCCAAACAGAAGACTGCGGAGGCAAAGGCACAAATATCTCTGGAGAGAGAAGAGTCTGAGGACGGAGAAAAGCAGGCCGAAGCTCTGGGGGCATCTGCCGGGAGTGCGCAGGGACAAACCGAGAAGATATTGCAGCAGGTCTCCATTGATGTGAAGGACGGGGCTGCGAAGAGCGGCGAGATGTGTCTGCTGCTGCTCCTGGCGGTGTTGGCCTTCTCTGCCGTGTGCTGAGTAGCATTGGTGGACGGCGGAGAGGACGCCCACGTAATTGCATGCGGCCATTGAGGCACAATACATAACAATTAAACTTCTCTTTTTTTTTTCGTTTCATCTCCGACCCCTTGTGGTTCTGGCGCCGGTGTGTGATAACCCTCGACGATATATCCACTGGGCTGGATATATTCATGCTGTCGTGGGAGGCGTCTGTTGTTTTTCTTCTTTTGCTTGGGCTTTGCTTCGCACCGGGCACTGTGCACCGCCCACTGATCCACTCCCCCCGAGGACAGTTCTTCTGCTGTTTGCCCCGCTTGCATTCCCATCCGGCATGCGGTGGGTGCGTTCAGATGTGGACTCACTGAGGCGGGTGCAGGACGTAAACTTGTTTTTAATATACACATCGGCAGGGAGGAGGGCGCGTCTCAACGGTTTCATTCTTTTCGTTTGCTGTTTGTGAGGGTAGTTTGTCGGGGCCTCATTTCGTGTGGGGTTGTGTGCTTCTTCTGTGGCGCACTTTTGTGCACGCCGCTCCCCACTTGTCTGCTTCGTGTGGTGCGACGCACACTGGCTGCTGGTGCTCTCTCCCACCCTGCCTGTGTGTTGGCCGCCTGCTGTGCATCCCTTCTCTTCCCCATCCCTGTAGACTTCAGTCGTTGCTTTGGTGTTGATAATGGTGGTGGTGGGGCGCCACGGTCTGTGCGTGCTGACCCTCTTGTGTTGCTGCACGGCCTTATGCGTGGCGGCTGCTGGACGGCGGTGAATTGCGTGGATTGTGGTAGTGTGTGTATGTGTATGTGTGTGTTGAGCAGTTGGCCAGAGTGTCAAGGATACAGTGTTCGTGCGTGAGCGGACGTGGGCGTGCTGCCTGTACCGCTTTTGGTGTATGTGATCATTGCCATGATTGGACAGTCGACGATAGCGTGCGGTGGGGCCGGTGTGTGTCTAGCCTGCCGGAGTGTTGTACTTGTTTGGTTGTGTTCTGCGCTGGTTGTACTGTTATCTTGCGTTGTGGGGCTCCCAGCTACTGTGTGCGCTGGGTACAGAGTCAATTAAATGGCGACGTGTGCGTAGTGAACTGCTACTTCGTCCTGTTGTCTTTTCATGTGCAAAAGGGAAGTGGCATATATCCCAACTGCTGCTGTTGGCGACGGATGGAGAGTGCTGGTGCGAACACGATACCATTCGCGTTGGCGTCTGCGGGCTGCCTTCAGCACGCCTTGGTGCGTGTAGAGCTGACCAACGGTGTTGTGATGACGGGGCGCATTGTGCAGCTCGACGCGGAGACGATGAACATGAAGCTCGACGCTGTCAGTGACACTGCAGTTCGCCACCGCCGCTGTAGCGGTAGTGATGAGAAGCACGCAACGGTGACGTGGGAGGCGGACCCCGCAGCGCTGCGCTGCACCAACAGTGTGGTGATTCGTGGTTGCCACGTGCGCTACATTGACTTCGTTGACGAGGAGGTTGGCGGCGGCCGTGGACTGCACGAGTTAATGGCGGCAGCGTGTGTTGTGCGACCGTCATTGGCCTGAAGTTGTGTGTGTGTGTGTGTGTGTATACGTGCGGTGTGCTGCGCTCCTGCTGGTGATGATGAGGATGAGGATGATGGTGGTAATGCTGGCGGCACACATGCAGACAGGAAGTGGATCGGTGGGAATGATGAAATTAAGGTGCGCACTGGCCGTCTCGGCGCTGTTGCCCCACCACCACCACCACCAGTGGGCTGTGCAGTGCGGCTTGACGCACCAGCTGTGTGTGCATTCATTTGTTGTTGTTGTTGTTTTTGTTTTTCATTTTGTGTCTGCCTGCGGTGTGTGTGTGTGTGTGTGCAGTAGATAGAGCAAGATGCTGCGCCGCCGCGTGGATGCGGGGTTGCCGCTGCTCTCCACCGTTGCGGTGCAGAAGCGGTACTCCTTCAAGTACGCAACGAAGCTGCAGCACGACGAGATGCGGCAGCCCTTCTACATCCACGAAAAGCGCTACGGTATCTTTAGCAATGAGAACAACATCAAGAAGGCCCGCCGCGGCCTGCCATTCATCACGCCGCTTTATACACGCCACATGAATCTCTGGGAGACCGACACGGACGCGAGGAACAACCGCTTCTTCCGCGGCTACGTCTTTGGCCAACGCGAGCTGCACCAGCTGCTGGGCCGCCCGCACGGCTTCGAGGCGGACAACCCCGACGGGAGCAACGGCCTCTCGGGATATGAGCAGAGCACCGACCAGCGCTACAAGGGGCTGCCGCGGCCGGCCATCACAAACTTGCACTACGAGCCGGAGTGGCGCTACACGCTCTACCGCGCTTCCGCACACGGGGCGCAGCTGTCGAACCCGCGCAGCCCGCTGACAGCGGAGGTGCTGGGGGAGGAGCTTGTCAAGCTGCGCGACATCAAGAGCTTCGAGCACTGCAAGGCGTGGTTCGACCGCCTGCAGTATCTCATCAAGCTGCATTACGACGCGGTGGGAGACATTGGGGAGTTTAAATCCCGCCACACGCAGCACGTGCATGAGTTCTTTGTCGCCTTTCACGACGCGCTGAGCAGCTTCGACTTCCAGGACACATACCTGCTGGAGCAGTTCAACGCCGCACGCCCGCCGGAGTTGCAGGATCTCTTTGGCGTATTCCTCGACATGGAGGCGAACTACGTGCACGAGGACCACTGCCCCCGCTGCAGCCTGCCGTACAGCACCACACGCTACTGCGGTGAGGGAGACACGAACACGCCGTTTCGGAAGCACCGTGGGCGGTGGGCGCCGCATCAGCGGTGGGGCCGCGAGTGGTACGCCGTCGTGGCGCGTCGTGCAGAAGCGTTGTGGTACCGCGCAACGGAGGACCCGTACTTCGGCACGCCGCAGCACACGCAACGCCAGGCGGAGGCGCTGCTGCGTGTGTACGTGCAGACCAAGCAGCGCGGGAAGGCCATCGACTTCATGAACGTGCTGCGGGGAAGCAAGGAGTTTCTCACCGGAGCCATCACCATCACATCAGGGATGCAGGAGTCGTACGATCGCCTCCTCGACACAACGCCGCACCCGCATCTTCTCACCAACGGCTTCACGCTGGAGAGCAACGCGGCGCGGTACACCGGGGAGGTGCAGAAGGCGCCACTCTCGCCGCTGCAGTTCCGCATTGACATGGAGATGAATAAATACCGCCGCCAGCAGAAGGAGGAGGGCGTTGTGCGAGTGCCGCCAGCGCTGTGGCGCCTCGACACGTCTGCGATTGTCCCGTATAACGTGGACCCAAAGAGCAAGCGCATCATCAACTGGCGCGAGGTGAAGGAGGGCATTGAAAAGTCCTTCCTCTCGACAGGGCTTCCGAAGGAGGCGTACACCGGCAGCGAGTGGCGGGAGATGCTGCACCTCAGCGCTGTCATTGCCGGCCGTGCGGAGAAGGCGGCAGAGCTGGAGCGGCAATTAGCAGCGGACCGGGCCAAGCTGTCCAGTAACACAAAGGCAACCGCAGGCGGCAGCAGTAGTAGTAGTGGTGGTGGTGGTGGTAGCATTATATTCCCAGACAAGGACGGTTTTCAACTCTTCGACACCACTACGGCCTCATTGAAACCGTTTGGAGTTAGTCAATCCGGCGCGGTGTTTCAGGCCATCGCACCAACGTACCCGACGCCTGCTTCTGTGCCGTATAACGACCCTGTGCACGGCAAACAGTTCGTGTTCGACACAACACGGGAAGCGTGCCACGTCTTTGGTGGCTTTGAGCACGGTGACCGGCTCCTCATTCGCGCCCATGGCACGAGCAACAGCAGCCATAGTAAGAATAGTGAGGACGAGGTGGTGGTAGTGGGCGTGAGCAAGGACGGCACCGACGCGGAGTGGCAGCTGTGCGCCATGTACGCCGACCCGGTTCGGCAGCGAGAGCGTGGACTTGTGCTGCTCGGCACGGACTGTGTCGACATCCGTGAGCGATGGGCGTCGCTGCGCTACGCCGCTGGTCCACACGTGAAGGGGCGTGTCACAGTGCTCGAGCCGCAGCGCACCGCACGGGAGGAGTTCATGGGGCAAATCGTTGGTGTCCGTGATGGAGTGCTGTTTGTGCAGTGGCGCCTCCTCAAGGGTGGTGGCAGCACTATGGACCGCAGCGTCGCAGAGCCTATTGGCAGTGTGGAACAAGTGCGTGATGTCTACCGCATCACGGAGGCGGGTGTGGAGACTCTACAGCACCCGCCGTCGTGGCGCACACCATTCCGCAACGACTTTGCAGACGAGCGTCTGCAGGAACTCAAGCAGGCACCATTCAAGAGGGAGAAATGGGCCTCCCTCATTCGTGGTAAGTACACACCGAAGCGTAAGCAGTTTGGCTACACGCAGCACACTACTGTAGATGACTTCGAGACAAAGGAGTACAAGGACCGTCTGCTCTCAAAGCAGTTCTTCCATAACCCGCAGGCGTTTGAGGTCATCCCTGACAAGCGTGACCGTTCGGTAATGTTCGGTGGGAAGTGGGAGTACCAGCGCACACACGGTCTGCCAACAGTGGACCGCAACGAACTGGAGAACGGCTGGAGTGAGGTGGAGCCCGTCTCGGATGCGGAGATGCAGGTGATTGAGCAGGCGGTGCGCGACATTAGCGGCCGCCGCCCAGGCAATTTTATCAAGTCACCCACCAAGGTCAATGCGCTGCAGCTCAATGAAAGTTGGTGGCGGCCGTTGGAGTTTGGGTGGGAGCAGCACAATAAAGAGCAGAAGGCACTTGTGGACGCGACGGAGCAACGGCTCATTGACGGCGCGAGTCTCCCTTTTGGCGGGAAGATTCCACCGTTTGGCACGTCCTGCGGCGTTGGCGAGCGTATACGGGAAATTGCGGAGGATTATGCAAAGGGATTTGGTCTGGGGCCACACGGGCACTCACCCTCGCATGACACAAGTCACTTTAATACCCTCAATTCGGAGAATAAGCGTGCGTTGGACCTTGGCTACAAGGACGCTATTGTTCGCATGTTTGACGAGAAGCTTGGGGACAAAGACGTGCATCAGTGGGCGGCGGAGCAGTGTCCCGATGGGGAGGCGGATGTGCGGCAGTTGTTGCTCTCGCTGCATGAGTGGCGTGAGCGAGGCCGCCCACCGTCGCTTCTGCTATCTCGGGTGCTATCCAAGTACCTCGAGGGGGAAATCACGGCGTTCAACAAGGATGTGCCAGCCACGGTGCCGAAGTTGTCGCTGCAGCTGGTGGATGGCACGTTGTCACCATCTGGCAATGGCGGTGAGCGGAGCGGGACAGTTTGGGCAGATGTGGACCCTACCGCCTACGCACTGCAGTACGCCAGCGAACGTCGTCATGGCAGCTCCGATGAGCCATTCATTTTTCACCTGTTGAAGCGCGCCCGGCTGGATGGACGCAACGTGACTTTCACTGACCCCGTCTACAACGCCCACCTCGAGAGTGCTGTCGTGAGTGAGTTTCAGCTTGCCCTCGCAGCGCTGGTTGGCAAAGGCATTTCGTCGAGTTTTCTGGCCCAGAAGACCGGCCAGTTGCACCGTGGGTCGGTGCGGTGGAGTGGGAACGTCATTCCCTTCGTCAAGAGCCGCGAGTTGGCCAAGTTGCTGGAGCGGATGGGGCTCACTTCAGAGAACATTGCCGTCGTGATGCGTGGTTTGGCAAACTGCCCGGAGCAGGAGTCCGTCGGTGAAGATTTTGCCGTTCCGGTGTCGCTCATACTTTCATGGGGCGGTCCTACTTCTGCTGCGGTGACGGAGCGCAAAGGTAACTCCGCGCAGTCGCGACAGGAGCAGCAGCGCAAAGGCTCCGTCGCGCTCTCCAGTGCCCTTAGGCAGTTGGGGCAGCCGCGCGGTACTGCACGTAACTGGCAGAGCGAAGACAAGATGGTGGTACACGTTCTCGAGGAGCTCGCGTTGCGCAACGATGGTCTTGTGATGGACATTCAGTACGCAGTGCGGGAGAACCGGAGGAATCCACTGCTGCGGAACGAGTTTTTTGCTGCACTTCTCCCTGTGTTTGGCGGTAACCACGAGAAGGTGTCGCAGTTGTACATCGATTACTGCGAGGGAAAATATGTGCCGAACATCACCGTTGCTGTGGATGCCTTCATTGCATTCCTGTACAATGTCACACAGCACCCGGATGTGTACCCTGGCAGCACATACTTTGAGGTGGACAAAACAAGTGGCCCACACGCTGGGCAATACGCGTCGCTGAAGCTGCTTGACCCGCTCGGCGGTCCATTTGTGTTTGACAACATAAAGGCCGAGCACATTGAGACGGTGGAGCGATTTAAGCGGCACGGCATTCTTACCGGGCCGGTGCGCGCCCCCGCGACGGGATTTATCGCTGCCAACTGCAAGTCATTGAATTACTTCACACGGCGGCCGGAGGAGGTGGTGTATGTCACCACCGACGCCGATCAGGGCCTACGCCGCGCGCTGGAAAAGTCGGCACACTACAAACTCATCGCCGCCAATCCGGCACTGCAGTTTCTACTAAACGCCCAGCACGGCGCGGGTATTGTGGCGTCGTTTAACCGCTTCTTCTACCGCACCATGCCGATGCTCAGCTTCTACCAGAAGGTGCTGGCAGAATATACCGCCACCGTGCAGCCACTGCGGCAGGAGGCTCAGAACAGCGTGCGTGGGTTAGCCCGTGCGCTGGAGAGTGAGCGCTCTACCGCGATTGAGGAATTCCGCCGCAACAGCGAACGGTACTGGCGAAACATATTGGAGGGGCGTGGCGCGGAGCAAGCGATGGTTGGTGGTGCTGGTGGCAGTGGCGGTGGGAGGGGAGGAAGTGGCAGCAGCGGAGGCGCCGCGACGTCTCGCGGGGATGTCGAGACACGTCAGGTTTCAAAGGCGCTCGGCAGCACCGGCGCGGGCGACAACAGAAGAGGTGGACAGCGGCAACAGCAACAACAACAACAACAGCAGCAGAGGCAACAGCGCCAAGCCGATGGGGATCGTAGTGGTGTGCACACAACATTTGCGCCACGCAAGAGCGGCTCNAACAACAGCAGCAGAGGCAACAGCGCCAAGCCGATGGGGATCGTAGTGGTGTGCACACAACATTTGCGCCACGCAAGAGCGGCTCACGCGGCATGACGGACTTGCTGTCGAAGTTGAATACACCGAAGAGCGGCACGAGCAACACGGGCGCTGCGAAGGGCCCGATGCGGAAGGGTGCAAGGCAGCCTCCCACCGATGGGAACCGCGGGGCCAAACCTTGAGAGAGTGAGAGATAGGGTGGGAAGAGAAGGGGCAAAAGGCGTTAGGTCGGGGGGTTAGTTAGGTGGATGCACATGGTCACATTTGGCGTTACATTTCTTGTTGTTGTGGAATAGGAAAATGAAGACTGGAAATAAGGAAGCGGTCTGTCCGAATGCGCACACAGGCACCCGCGTGCTCCCTCGCTCTCTCTCTCTCGTGTGTGTGTGTGNGGGGAGAGAGAGAGAGAGAGAGAGAGAAAGCTGGGGGTAGCGGTGGTTCAGGTGTGCGCATTGTGTAGGGGCCTCTTGTAAATATGTGTTCCTTGTGTCCCTCATACCCCTACTGGACTGTTTGTGTGCTGTTGTTGTTGTTGTTGTTGTTGTTTTTCTTCTGTTTTGCAAATGAGAAAACAAGAGAAGAAGTGGTAGTGTGTCTGCTGTTAAGAAGTGTGCAGCAGAGTTATTGTGGCACACGTCGTATCGGTTGGCAGCTGCCCTGGCAAACGGGTGTGTGGAGGTGGAAGTGAAGAGGAGGGACGTATAGCTGTCCCGCGGAGGCACTCCCAAGCCCACGATAATGCGGCCATTTCTGATGAATCTGTCTGGCAACCGCGGCAGTAAGAATAACAGTATCAATAGCAATGGCGCTGGTCGCTCCCGCATACAAGACACTGAAGGTGTGTCATCGCGGCTGCACGAGCGCCCCTCCGTCGACGAGGTATGGCCGCTGGTGGAGGCACATCTAGTGCACGCCGCCCATATCATCCGCAGTGGCAGCACCGAACTCGTGGATCGCTTGCGTGACGCACGGCATCGCATGAACTGGTACGCGGTGATATATTCTGCCTGTAGTGGCCAGCCGCAGAGATCGTGCGAAATCTACCACCGCCTGGCGCTATTCCTGCTGAACGACCTGGAGGTAAATGTGTTGCGGCCGTTCCTGCACCACGGCGCCACCGGCTGTGCGCCCTCGTCGAGTTTGTGCCAGCAGTTCGCGCTGCAGTTCAAGCTGTTCATGGCGTTCCGCCGCGTTGTGCTCTCGTGCTTCGGCTACCTCGACCAGTACTACACAGCGAAGTTCCATCTCGACCCGGTGACAGCGCTGTGTGTGAAAATGTTCTACGCGGTGGTGTACGAGCCCATCCGCGCGGTGCTCGCAAAGGAGATTATGGAGCTGGCGAACGAGGCGCGAACGGCGCACCACCACGGTGACACGGTTTCGCAGGCGGGGGAGGACGTGCGGCAGGCACTCGCTGCGATTTCGGAGATTCTCACAACCGTCAGGGCGTACTCCTCTGCGTCTGGTTCTGCTGCGCCCATCGGCGTCGCCGCAGGAGCAGCAACCACCAGCGCCACCACTAGCGGTTGTGGTGGCGGTGGTGGCGGTGGTGGCCCTTGCGACGCCGGTATGCAGGCCGCACGCACACACAAGGGGACCGACGGCTACCACGCCAGTGACCGCGAAGAGTATAGTGGTGGTGGATCTGGGGGAGAGGGACACAACACACTCGACGGCATCATCGCTGAAGTGGACCAACTGCAGATGTTCTCGAGCGGGCAGAATTCCCAGGTGACAGAAACCAGCGCGGTGGCAGGTTGTGTTTCGCTGGAAGGCATCCGTCTCTTGCGTGAGAGGCTTGAAAACCGATCGTTTGCTGATCTTATGGCGGGCCCAATGGTGATTGGTCGCGGTGTCAGCAGCAACGGCAACCACACCGCTGCTGGTAGTGGTGGCGGCCGTGACACGACGGGGAGGTGGGCGAGCGATCCGGCGCAGGTGGTCATTGTAAACATTGTAGAGCCGCTGCACACTCTTATATTTGCGTACTTCGGTGTGCAGTTTGTGCAGGCCGCCGAAACGTACTACCGCGAACAGCGGGCACTGCAGATCGCTCGTCCTGAGGGTCGGCGCGGATACATGGCGTGGGTGCAGCAATGCCGAGACGTGGAGCGGTCGCTGGTGAAGGATGTTAGTGTGTCGCTCTTCCACTGCGTCCTGCGCGAGCGGCTCCACCAAGTGCTGCTGGTGGAGGTGCACCGGTTGATTATTCTCGACGAGGAGCTCGGCTTTCGTGCCCAGTTGGATGCGTGGGCCAGGCACCGTGGCCTTGGCTCTGCCATTTTTCTCCAGGCCTCGTCATCGTTCACTTCATCTTCCACATATCCCTCTGCCGTGGTTTCTGCGTTGACGACGGACTTTAGTGCGACCCCCGCTCCCCCTGCTGTTGTTTCCAATACTTATGACGGTGAACGGACTCAACCGGAAAATTTCTGGGCGCAGCTCTCAGTGGATGAGCTCGCCCACAAAATGAAGGTCTTTGCCACCAATTTCTTTAACACGCAGGACGCGGCGTGTTGTGTTCTTCTGGCTAGTGAGTTTGCGAGCAAGGTGGTGACGGATACTACCGAGCTCTTCACCGCCTATATTTCCCGAGTGGAAGCGGTACAGCAGCAGCAGCAGCAACAACAACGACACGAGCAACAGCATGGATTCTCATCTCTGATCGACGTAAAGCCGGGCGTGGCGGCCGGCAGGAAGCGCCCGGTGAGCGGCGATGTTCTGCCCAATGCAGCAGCAACACCAGCAGCCAATCCCACGCTGCAGGACGTCGCAATGGCGCTCATCGCTGGGCTTGTCGATGCAGCGCAGCACTTTGGTGGCCTTGTGCGCGAGCAGTTCAACGCCCACCCGTCGATGCAGGCGGCTATGTGTGACGCGTTCCGAGAGATTCTGAACCCTGAGCGTTGGGGCCAGCTCGGCGTACGTGGCCGCACTACCGTTGGCGCGGAGCTGCCGAGCGTGCTACTCAACCACGACGCAGCGAGGCGGACGCTGGCGGTGATGAAAAGACTCGCGGTGCTGCGCGGGGCCCGCGAGATCGCGACGCCGCAGCTGCTGGCCGCGTACTGTGACCAGCTGTGCCGGCGGGAGATGGGCAGCGTCACAGAGGGCAGCGAGGACCGCGGGATCCACATTGCATACCTCGCTGCCCTCCTCGACGACAAGGACGTGTTCCTAGAGCACTACAAGTTGCTGTTGGCGCGACGCCTACTGCTTCTGCTGCCGTCGCAGCGCAATGTAGACGGGGAGCGGGTGCTGGTGCACAAGCTGCAGGAGTCGCTGGGCCGCACGTTAACGCATGGCCTTGTGGCGATGCTTCACGACTGCGAGTCCACTGCAAACATCAGCGACAGCTTCCGCGAGACGGAGGCGCATAACGCGCTGCCGGCGAAGATGCGCGTGCAGGTGCTCACCGCAGTGCACTGGCCGGCGTACCGTGTCGTGCAACTCACACCCTGCGCGTCGCTTGGCGCCGGTATGCAGGCCTTCGCAGCGTTCTACGCGGAGGTGCACCCGTCCCGCACACTGCACTGGATCCATACACTCGGGTCCGCCATGCTGCACGCGGTGTTCCCGCGGGGAACGAAGGAGGTGATCGCCAACACGCTGCAGGCACACATCCTCCTCCTCGTGAGCGATGCCTGCAACGCCGGCAGAAGCACGGCAGCGGCGTCGGAAACAGCAGATGAGGCTTCCGTTGTCGTGGCCTCGGAGCAGAGAGGCGCGGTGCGCCGACGGGCTGTTGCTGGGCGGTCAATTGCTTCTGTGATGGGAATAGAGTTCGCCGACCTCCGCGTCCACCTAGCCCCGCTCGTACAGCACAAGGGGTTCAACCTGCTCACGCGCGTGGAGCCGCGCCGTGACGCCTCCATGAGTCCAGCATCAGCGGGAGCAATGGTAGAAGCGCCCCTGTTGCCAGACGATGAGTTCGCTCTCAACGTTGAGTTCACGCATAAGCTGCGCAAGTTCAAGCTGCCCATAGCGCGTCCCCGCCCCGCACAGGCGGCAGGAGACAAGTCCCGCAGCTCCGCCGAGGACGGGGCGGAGAGTGTCCTCTCCGCTGCAATTGAGGACACGCGTCGGCTGCAGATTGATGCCGCCATTATACGCATCATGAAAAGTCGGCGCTCGCTGCGCTACTACGAGCTGCTGGACGCGACAGTGCAGCAGCTGTCGCGGCTCTTCGCCCCCAGCTCGCGGTCGGTGAAGGCTCAGGTGGAAGATCTCGTTGGCCGCGGGTTTCTGCAGCGTAGTGAGGGGGATGCGTCCGTTTTCGAGTACGTTGCGTGAGTTCTCCGCGCACACCAAAGGACAAAAAGTTTGAGTAGTAGGTACCAAGTGTGATTGAAGACAGTGATGGACGTGAGGTTTGTCCTCGTATCATCATTTGGTTTTATTTTTGTTCGTTACCTTATTTCCGTTCGCCAGGATGGAATTCGCCATACTTTGGTGTGTTTTCTGCGTGTGTGCCTCTGTTGACTATGATTGCCTTGTACTGCAGCGCTGCTACTTCTGACGAAGCAGAGGAAAGCAAGTTTTGGTGCGTTTGTGTGGCTGTTTTAGCGGCAGTAACGGGAATGACGTCAAGGAGACCGAAGCAAAGCAGGAATGCTTGTGGCTTCGCGTGTGTTTCTAGTGGCACCACTCGTCTCCGTGAAGCTGTGGTGTCTGGTGCACCCGCCGGTTGCCTTCCCCCACATGCGTGCGGCTGGTCCGTGGCAGACTGTGGGGGAAGAGAGAGGAACCAACAAAAAAGAAAAAATAGTTCTCTGGATTGAGGCTATCCATCCATGTGCTCTGACGTTCTTTTTTGTGTTTGTTTGTTTGGGCTTTGCTTCCTACTGAGCTGTGCTGGTCCTTCTTGCTATTATTCTTGGTGTTTTTTCTTGAGGGGGGGTGCGTCCATTGGGTGTTGCCCTTGTGCATTTGACTCTGTGTTTATATGTTTGTTCGTAGTTGTGGTGCCACAATCATCATCAACAGCAGGAGCAGCGACAAGAGCGCGTATAGAGAATGCGACGAGTGCGGCTGCTGGTGGACTCCCACCGCCTGTCGTGGGTGGCGCGTCGGTGCCTCACACGCAGGAGCGCGGCGCTTCTCAACAGCTATCACACGAGCTCCTGCTGCTGCAGTGGTGGTGGTGGCGGCTCTGTCGTGACGGAGGTGATTGCGCCGGAGATGGTGACGATCGAAATCCTCCCGGCAGTGGAGGAGCACGGCACCGGCCACAGCAGCAGCGGCAGCGGCAGCAGCAGTGGCCATGAGAGCCACCATAATGAGGTGGGTGGGCGCACGGGTAGGGGCGTCGCAGACGGCGCAGGTGCGAGGCTACAGCAGCAGCATTACTGGGATGTCACGAGCATTGACAACTTCTCCAAGAGCCGCGTTCTGAATTACATCCGTCGCACCGGCAATCAGTCCGCTGGCGTCTTCGAGGTGAGCACGGAGCAGATGATGGGCAAGACAGTCTACCGCGCCCGGTGCAAACTGTTGCTTCCGCCACCGCACCACTTCTACGTGGCGGAGGGCGTTGGTGAGGACGAGAAGGACGCGGAGCTGCTGGCTGCCATGCATGCGGAGCGGGTGTGTGACGCACTCGGCGTGCCGCTCTTCCGTCTGCCGTCGATGCAGCAGAAACACGCGGAGAGTGCGCGGCGGCAGGGACGTTACGCCCCGATGCCAGGCGAGCCAATCAAGCCGGAGAACACCATCGCCCCACCACCACTGCGCATGGTGTCGCCACCTAGCGATTGTGTCACTGGCGCTTCTGCTGCTGCTGCTGCTAGGTCGTCTGTCTTCGCCGCCACCATCACAGAGGCGGAAATCATTGACGACAGGACAACGCGGGGCGGCGGCACCAGCAGAAGCGGCAGTCGACGCGCAACAAGGCGAACAACAGAAGAGGGGGGGTGTGCTTCCCAATCGGTTTCCACTGCAACTGCTGTTGGTGTTGGTAACGCAGACGCAGGTGCTGTAGATGAGGAGGTGCATGGTGATGCGTTGGCGTACCATGCGACTGTGCACTACCCGTGGCTCTCCTCCCCCACGCTGAGCAGCGGCGGCGGCGCAGCAGCAGCAGCAGGTGGTGGTGGTGGTGGAGTAGGAGGTGGCGCGTCGGCGGCATCCAAGATTCCCGCCGCCTGCTTTGATCCAACGGAAGGTGGGATGTGGCAAATGGTGAATGTGACCTCCACACGCTGCTCGCCGTCGCCCGACGCGCTGCTGCTGCCGTGTGTGTATGAGACCGCCGCGTACGAGCGTCTGAAGGACCACTTCCTGCAGCAGGGCCTTGCGCTGAAGGACCGCGTCGTCATCTCCCACGTGGTGGTGCCTGGCCACTCCGCGCGCATGTACGTCGCGGAGATCCGCCTCCACGACGCCGTTGTGGCACGCGGCAAAGCGCAGACGCGGGAGTGCGCGCAGCAGCTGGCGGCGATGCACGCAGAGTTGCTGCTTGACGCGCTCGCCCGCCCGCTCT